TCTATAACAAATGTTTAATTTCAACACGTTTTTGGAACCTCACAACAATTCTTACTGTTTGAAGCCCTTCAGTTTAGCATCACACTCGAATTAGTGTCCCTTTCAGAAGTGAACAAACGATGTTAAAATAGAAGTTTTATTTTATTTATTACTTTTCAAGGAAATAAATAAAACATTATCAGCTGATCATTAATCCGTGCCGATCATCGCCACAGATTAATGGTATGAAGATCGTCGCTATTCACTGAACAAAAATATATACGTGATTATGTTCTTGGTCGAAAGGAACGTTTACTGTATAGTGCATTATGGCTTCTCCGTGCATTAGAATCTGCATAAGCTAAAATTGTACATGTACAGTACTGTACATCTCTGCAGATGAAGAGGACAACATATCCAGAAATAGTCCCATATTTTGTTGCAATCAGGATACGGTTGGATAAAATAAATACTTCGGTTCATGCTTTTTTTTGTTAGCCATTGCTTCAATATTGTCTACCTCGTACTTCTAACTTCCTTGCGTATGGATACTCATTTCTTTCAAGTGACCGTGATTTTGGAGTTATCAGGAAAGAATTGAAATACCATGACATTGTACAATATATATATGGTGTCATGAAAGTAACGCAGGATTTAAATTTTAAAAGAACGTATTATTTATTCATTAATTGGTAAAGTTATTTACATTATTTTAAAGGGTAAACATTGCAATTAAATAAGGAATAGAATATCTGACAAATGCTTCCATGATTCTTCTGAAACTCTCATATTCTTTTGACAATTTTCAATTACATTTTCGCACAGTTGCGACTTAATTTCGTCGATATCTTTTCGAATTTCTGTTCTAAATTCAGGAATTGTTCTTATTTTAGTGGCATAACCGTTGGATTTTACAAATCCCAGAAAAAAAGTTGCTCGATGTCAGATTGCACGAACTTAGTGGCCAATTCTGATCGCTGTTGTATAGGTGAGTTGCCCGAGAAACTTCTGCCGCAACAACTTAGTTGTTCATGTGTCGTATGGCAGGTAGCACCATCCTGCTGGAACCACATGTCACTCGAATCCATGCTGTCCAAATGAGGCTGAAACTCCAATATCAAATCGCGATAATTCGCACCATAACAGTAACTGCATTTTCAACCTCTCGAAGAAATACGGTTAAAAATTTTTCTAAACACGCCACCGGTCCAAAATTCACATCAACTTGTCACGCATTGGCAGGGAGGGATTTCGGTTTTTCGGGGCTTAGGGCTTATTGAAGTCCAATGAGGTCCCATTTTTTGTTAATACAAATAATACTATAAGCTATCATTATTATTATATTATTAACATTAACTATTTTTTACTATACGATAAGTGCTCAATGTTAATGAAAAAGTATTAAAACTTTATGATAATAATACAATTTTTGTGGGCCTTTGACACTTGGGGTCCAGGGCTAAGCCCTATTAGTCCCTGTGTAGATCCACCCTTGCTCGTTGGGCATGTATCGGTTATTCTTCGCGCAGTCTTTGCACAGTTATTTCATTTGGCATGTTTCTCCAACCGAAAGTATCATGTAATTTGCGCGCAATTGCATCAAAATTTTCTCCGTACTTGTAATAAGCTTTGATAATCATTATATGCTTCTCCATTATGTATCACTTCATATTACCTAACTGCAATGTGTTTACTACAAGATGTCACTTCATATGGCGCTGCCAACCTTATGACAGNTATAATAACTAGAACTTAATATCAAACAATAGAAATCGAACAATAGAAATCGTGAGCCGTTCACAGCCCGGCACACGTATTTGTAAAATCTAAGTGACTCGTACAACATGGAATTCATATAACATGGAATTATCTACAGTGTTATAGGGGGTCTACTGTATTTATTATATTGACGTTTGTTTTACTTTAAAAGTTACGCATCTATTAAAAAACCGTTTTATATTTAAAACTCAATAAAATTTCATAAATTACATTTTACATGAAAGACATGGAAAAAAATATTTTGAAGTTTTGGTTTAAAAAAATCTGGTTAAGATCTGGTTAAAAAATTCAAATACTAATCTTTTATTTTTTTAAATACGTTATAAATGATTTTCATATATTATATCTGTTTTTTTTAATATTATAAAATCAGCTATTTGTTGTATTAAAAATTATTTTATAAAGTAAATAAAAAGGTTATTGGTTTCAATAAATTTTACAGCCCATAAAAATTCTTATTTTCTCTTGGCAAAAGTGCATTATATTTTGTTGACTCGTAGAGTTCATAATTTTTTTTAATATTATTACTCAGAAAAGTTAAATCTTTTAACTTATCTTAACAAGAATTTATGTTTTTAAAAGCTGGGATCTAATCTAAACTTATCTGTTTGATGTTTTCTGAATTTCCGTATCTAAATATATTGAAAAATTCGAGTTAAAATTGTACCAAAAGTCTCTTTGCGCTTGATTTACATAAATTTTTTTTATTTTAAATTAGTTTTTTGAATTTTATCAGTAAAAATTGATTTTTATTTAAGTAAAAATATCAATTCTATAATTACATTAAAACTTTTTTAATAAAAATAATCAAAAATATACTATTTTAAAAATTACAATACACAACAATTGAAAGTAGATCACTGTATTTATATTTATATCAATTTGATTAATGATTAAATACTGAATTAACTTTCATTAATATAAACGAAAAATTTCCATATTAAATTCGAGAATATAAAGAAATAAAAGAATATAAAAGTCTAATTACATTTACAGCGAAACTTTCGTTTCGAGTGTTTCTGTATGCTGAGCAAATAACTGTTCAGGTAAGAGAATGGTAAGAGAAAAATCAAATAAAAGAGAAAGGACTTTGGCTAAGAATCAGGAAGTACAGCTAACGTTGATAAAGTAAGCAATTTGATTGCATTAAGCTTAATACAAATCCCAATGCGTCAGTGATAAAAGATTTACAGGAAACATATGTTGTTACATAGAAAGTCAATATATCACTGACAATTTCCTTTAAAAATAAAATGCATTTTTCACTATTAAAACAATTTTTACGAATATAAATATCGTAACTGACGATTCAGTATTAATTATTACCTAATAACTTTTATTCAAATCAAATTTAAAAATATATTAATACCAAACCACAAAATCTCTTCATAAAACTTTGAATTTTGACAATAAATTATACGTACTTATTAGAATATTTAATGCTACTTTTTTATAAATATTAATATTTATTTATCCAAATAAAGAAAATAGGGAATAAATCATTCTTAGTGTAATCAAGAACTTTGCTATTAAAGAAACTACTTTCTATCTAGAAGTCAAAGAAAGTGAGATCAATGAAGTCGTTCTATTTTGATTTTATATATTGTTATAACAATATACTGAATGTTTAGGCTACGAATTTAATAGTTTTATATACCAATTAATATCTTTAATTCTTAAAAATCTAATTATATTAATATTAATTTAGTAATAATACATTTTATATTATTATTTATTTTACTAATTTTATTAACTAAAACAACTTTTAAGAATTTTAAATATTTCTGAAATGCTAATATGAGTCTATTACAGTATTTAAGAATAATCAGTTATTGAATAAATTATTAAAATATGACAATTGTTCTAATATATATATAGGCCTATAACTTAATATAAAAAGATCCTCAAAAGTTTTAGATAAAATACTTTCTACAGTTGAAAGTGAACTGAAAGCATTTACTTTATGCTTTCATTTATAGGGTTTGTGTGTAGAGAAAGGCCTTTTCCCATTTCCTGGGTGATAAATGTAATTTCTTTCCAAAAGAAAAAGTAAAAGAAATAGGCTATTTTTCTTGAGGATAATGATGATTGCAAAGTTTCTAAAGATTAAGAAACCAATTCTTATATAGAAGAAAAAGCACTAAGTTAAATTTAAGGCCAAACAAATAATTATGTATTCTATACATACAGTTCAATTTTCTTATTTGTTTAAAAATTATGTACGGAATTTTATATAATANTTCATTTTTAACCTGCCACAAGGCAATCCTGCTGTCGCTGATGATGTTTACTTTGCCGTGTTGAAACCTTTGGGGATGATTGTTTATGTGTTGTAGAGCACGGAGGATGGCCAGGGATTCTGCTTGGTTAATTGAGCAGTGGTCCCTTAGCCTTGCGACAGCTTGCCAGTGGCTGGGGGTGAGGGTATCCGTGAAGTAGACAGCGGCTCCAACAGAGTTGGCAGTTTTGGAACCGTCTGTGTAGAAGTTCTTCCCCTTGGGGGGACTGTCCTGAATGTCGTGAATGCCAACCTTATGACAGAAAAATGGTGCGAAATTTAAATCCTGCGTTAATTTTGGGACACCCTTTATGTATGATTGCCGACAGGAATGCGATGGTCGGAACTGACGAGGACTCGAGAGGACCATATGTGGTTGAGATTTTGACACTGAGTCAGGAGTACTATTTACAGTTGAACCTGTTTAATTAAAAAACAAATTTGCTTACAAAATTTTGTTTGTTGGTCGCTTATAAAGGATTGTTCTCTATTTATCTGTCTGAGGAAAGAGTGCAGAAAGAGTCTGAATGTCGCTGTCAATGTCGACAAGAGGTCCCTCGGCGATAGACGGCTTATGTGTCGATGACTCCGGAACTCGCTTCGTTCGGTGGAAGTCTTGGATCAGATAGGAAAGTAGGGTCAGCTGAGGTGTTCATCTGCAGTCGCCGCTCGAGAAACACAATCCAGAGAACGTAAATTTTGTTTATACAATTGGAACGTATTCTGATAGGTTATGGATCGGCAAGAAAGAACAAATCCGGGGTGAAAACCTGTACAAGTTAAGACTTGGGAATGGAACCTTGATCTTGGAGAAAATAACCTCTTGTCTCAAAAACACGAGGTTCTTTTTTCAAAGATCAAAGGGTTCTTTCCTCAATCTCTCATTCCGATTGATCGACAGGAATGAACCAATCGGAAAATGATGAGTGGTATCCTCATCATTTTCCGATTGGTTCATTCCTGTCTCCAAATGACAATTTTAGACCTTTTGGTTCACGGGTGTGGTCGGCGATCAACTTGATACCGTTTCCTGATTCCGATTGGATAGTGTTTATCGAACTTTCAAACACCCTCTCGCAACTCAAGCCTTTTGTGTTTACCCTTTTGACAGAAATAATTTATAATTGTCTTAGCAAAACATCATTTAATTAAATAAATCTTTTAGTATATTATGTTTAGTTTTGTGTCATTTTTATTCTAAAGATAAGAATATAATTGTCCTGTTGGATACTGGTTTACATTTTAGCACTTAATTTCGAATTCCTTACGGAACCTCACATACTGTACACCCATGGACTTCAGGTCTAGCTGGATTTATTATTGTCGTAGTTGATTCTGCAATCACGAAGAACTTTAATAATTAGTGAATCAATAACTATAAGAGAACGTGAGCAAGGATATTGACAGTGTCAACAACTAAGACAAAAGGGGCATACCTTAGAATATTCCTGCGTTCAATGCGTTTGTTTTCTCTCGTGACTTTTTAAACGTAGTATTTTTAAGCCATGCACTTTATTGATTGACTTGGATCACTAAATTATCATTTGCAGAAATCAAGTGATCCATTGCCTGTGCCACTCCCAAGAGATAGGAGATTCATGAAGCTTGTGCCATTAGCAGAAGGTCAATGATGTATACAGATTGATGTAGTTTGTATCACAAAATAAATTATGATTTTTATGACACTATCATGGAACTGTCTCCAGTCGATTAGACTGAAGAAGATATCGCCCGAATCTCGTAGACAAAGAGTAATATTTATTTACTCCAAAGTGTAAGATTACTTCATTCCTGCATCACTTTTTTCCAAGCCCACAGATTAAATCATTATGGTAATAAGTTGTGCTTTCTTTTCCAGCTTACGCTATGATAACCGAGAAATAGTTTTTTATTCAGTATTTAGCACTAGTTTTCCAATTTACAAGATACCAATCCAAATTCCAGCGTTACATTAAAGAGGCGACATCTCCAACGTTTATTTTTCCTCCTCATGTCAGTAGAACACTGGAAAAATAAACATTGGAGATGTCTCCTTTTTAATGCAATTCAAGAGTTTCGATTGGCATCTTGTAAATTGGAAAACTGGTAGCACAAGTCTGCTAAATACTGCATAAAAAATTATTTCCCGGTCATCATAGCGTAAGCTGAAAAAGAAAACATAACTCATGAGTTATAGTCAATTACAGTCGGAAATAAAGGGCGTACCCAGTACCTATTCTGATAACCTAATAAAGTCATTGAATTGTTACATGTAAACGCAACAGGCGGTTTTACCTTAACTTGTAAAATTGCTTTTCTTGAGTAGTTCCCTTCTTTCACGCGCACATTAAATTGAATTTTATTAAAATTTTATTATTTTTAACTGTAATTGAAAAAAAATAAAATTTAATAAATGTAAACATGAAAAGTAAACAATCTACCATCTCACTTTACCGAAAACTGTCAAAACTTGTGAATACCAAAGACAAGTCCAATGTAATAAAATTCTGAATATTTTACAGTAAACAAAAACTACAATAATTGTCCTTAATTAATAATTAATTAAGAATTATATCGTACTTATCTAATAAAAACTGATCACTAATTAAATAATATATATAGATGGACCATCATTAATCCGGTATTAATTTCGGCTAGCTTAATTTCAAACATTCTGGCTCACTCCACCAACCTTCTGCCATTGTTTCGTTGGGCTCAATGTTGTCAGATGTAAGATAATTATCTTTTTATCTCGATAATACTTGTACGATAATGAGAAAATCTATAGTAGTTGACAAAAATTTCCATTTAATGTTTTTTTTTTTCTTTATTAATCAACTTGTACTAATTTACGGAGTATTTTACAGACAGCATGAAATAGTTAGCTGTTGGATTAAATATATTCTAACCTAATTATCCTGTGATTCAGCAAAATAACCAATCGGTACCCTACAGATCCAAATGATGCCAGATTAGTGATGCTCGACCTGTAGTATATGCCTATATATAACTATTATTAAATATACAGTCTACTATTAAACAATTTTATGTACAAAATCATAAAATTTTATTTCTAGACTGTAATTGAAAAATTAAATTGGGCATTGGACATTGGAAATTGGGCATTGGACATTGGATTTAGTGGGCGAAGACCACTAAATCCAATGTCCAATGCCCAATTTCCAACGTCTCTATTTAAGTTAGGTACACTGTTAATGCTGTTCGTCTAAAATAATGATTGTATCTTTTTGAGGAAATCATCTAGCATATTATGGCTTATAGAAAAGAATTCAGTTACGTTCACATTACATGTAGACAGACTTGACTGATCATATTTTTTACTTCTGTACCCATGCTGAACGACACCATTGCGTGTTAGATTTGTCCATAATGGTTAAAATTGTGGTTGATTTTACAGTTTTTATTGTAACGATGGCTCTAGTTGAGTCTAATCAATCAACTTTTATCCTTAATTGATAGATTAGTCAACATGAAGATACTATTACATAAAAGATCGTATGGGGACCCTCAATTCTGCTTGTACTAACGTGGACATCCGTAGAAAATTTTCTACTGGGCAAAGCTTGGAGAGAAATTATTACATTAATAAATTTTTATTTAAATTACAGTTTAAAAATATAAAATTTTAATAAAATTCAATTTTATGTGCGCATGAAAGAAGGGACGGCCATGCATACTGATATAGCTAATATGAATGGAGAGTGAGAAACGATGTACCTATTCGAAAAACTGTAACAATGAAAAATCACAATGATATAGGTCTAAAACCGGATAGTGGCAATAAAATAATATTTTATTCTATTGTTATTGTACCTATTTTTAAACGTAATTTAAATTCTTAATTTAGAAAACTTTGGTAGAAGATATAAAGAAAAAATTTAATATAGGAAAAATCAGTATTAGTCAAAATGCCATTAAGTATAATCACTTCTGTAGTAAGATTTAAAATTATAGATTATTAAAAGTAGCATAATTTAATTTTGTTTTTATTAGAAATAGTTTCAGTCAAAATGAGCAGGATGGTAAATATTAAATTAATTAATATAAGCTATTTAAATTCGGAGTCCATTTTGTTTGCTCTTCGTTAGGTTTTTTCACGCTTCCTACTTTGATTCTCTTCTCAAAGGAGTTAGGTCAGTGTATCTCCACTTGACTGACATGTTCTACTTTGCCAAATTAGACTACTTTAGACAAGAATCTATCCTTCTAAATATAGATTAATTCATAAAAGAAAAAATATATTTACAGCATCTATAAACTACGATATTTATTCTAATAAATAGCACGCTGTTTATAACTTTTTCTATCTTACAACTGCGCTGTTTATTGCTATTAGAAGCCGACTATTATTTCTATCCTTTAGGAATTGGATAGAATTATTATTTTAGGGCGATTATTAATGAAATAAATCCGATAACATTTTTACTTTATTATTATTTATGCAACAACGCAACACTTAACATACACTTTATTTTAACATACGGTAAGAGTAACAACTGTGCAATTTTTCAGTTTAAAATAACTCTTCTCTTCTTCTAAAAGATAGCACGCTTACCATTACACGACGTTATTTATTAGAATAAATGCTGTATTTATAAAATTATACAACAGGTGGATGCTACGTACTGGGAGTAGGGATGTCCCGATTAGGGTTTCTCATTTCCCGGTCTTTTGCTTGTCCCGGGATCCCGGGATAAAAGTGAACTGTTTCTCGGGATCCCGGGAAATCCCGGGATAGAATTAACTATTTTTAAGGTATACAAAATATCTTGAAATCAAATGATATAATTATTTTCCATTTTTTAAAGTAATTTTAAAGTTCTGTAACCTCCAAAATCATATTAATAATGCTATGTAAGGTCTATAGGCCTATAATAAAAATTACCTTTAAATAACGTAGAAATTTTCACAAATAGAAAAAAATTAATTAAAGTTTGCTGGAAACTGCATACAACAACAACAA